GCGGGACGCGAGGGGCAGCGCGCAGAGGACCAGGGCGCGGCCGCCTCCGGTCCCGGGGCGCCTTCCGCCGGTGGGTGGACCCGGGGAGCGTCCTGTGGGTGCTTCCGCTTTCGCTGCTCAGCGGCTTTCAGATACTGACATTGCCCAGCCAGGTGTGCCAGAAAAACAGGTGCGTTGCCAAATACGGGGCGCGTCGGCCCGGTGCCAGGCCAGAGGCATGTTTTTACTCCCTGCTCAGCAGAAGAGGATACTGAGGCTCCGAGGAGGGCACAGACTTGTCCAGGTCACAGAACCGGGGCGTGCCCAAGTAGACCTGGAACCTCAGTTTGCTGAAGGTCAGGCAGGTCCTTTCTGCATGGGTGCTGCTGGGCCCTCTCTGTGTGAGCTAAGAGTCGGGACTGGCCCTGCCAGCTGTGGAAGCCACCCTCACTCCTGTCGCTGTCCCACCCTCTCCGTAGTCCCTCAGTGCCTTCCTCTGACTGGAGCTTATCACCCTCTCCTCACTTCCTTTGGTCATTATTTATTCAGCTTTCCACTTGAGATTTCTCTGCATCCTCTCTGCTCAGCACTGGGCCTCTGTGGAAGGACTATGGGCTCTATGTGCTGGTTCCAAGCCTGTGTCTCCAACTCTAATAAAGTGTGATCTGCCACACTTTGTACTTTGCTCCTCTGTGGCATGAGGATGACATTCCCTCTCCCAGGGGCAGGGAAGATACCACAGGTAAACCTGATAAATGTCAGCTCCAATTCTCCCATCTCATCCTGCACTCCACCTGTGACCCGCATTCTTGGTCTGGCCAGTGTTCCAGGACTGGAATGGTCCCCTAACCTCTGGCCTGGAGGCTGGGTGCGTGCTCCCTGCGGCAGGGCTGCAAGTCCTCCCATGCTTGGGCTTTGTGATGGGTCTGGATTTGGCAGTGCCTCCGGCTCCTCGTTCCACCTGGGCCTGGGCTCCTGCTGTTCCTCTGGCTCCCTCCTGTCGAAAAAAAGACCGAAGATTTTCACAGGAGGAAGTATACAGCCAATGAGTAAACTTGGAAAAAGATATTTGACTTCAGCAAATAAAAAAATGTAAATTAAAACAATATTCTGGTACCATTTTTCACCTGTCAATTTTTGAATATAACATTTCATAATTTTGAATAAAATTTGTTACAATAAATTGCTGGTGATTGCAAGATGAAGTTGTTCTCGCATCTGCTTGAGAATATCAGGGATGGATTCCCGGGGTGTTTGGCTTCTTAAAAAACGATTGCGGCAACACACACTTAACAAAAAATTTGCCAATTTAGCCATTTTCAAGCGTACGGTTCAGTGGCATCGAGTACATTTCCATTGTGCAGCCAGCCCCACCTTCTATCGCCAGATCTTTTTCATCTCCCTACGCTGAAGCTCTGAACCCATGAAACTCAGTTCCCCATGCCCCTCCTGCCCCAGCCCCTGGCAACCACCATTCTTCTCTGCGTCTCTGTGAATCTACTCTAGGCCCCTCACGTAAGTGGACTCACACGCTATTGGATCTTTTGTGTCTGGCTTATTCCACTTAGCACACTGTTTTCAAGGTTCATCCATGTTGTAGCATGTGTCAGAACTTCCCCCCCTTTTCCTGACTGAATGATATCCCATTGTATGGATAGGCCACATCTTGTTTATCCGTTTATCTGTCGATGTGCACATGTGTTGCCTCTACCGTTTGGCTGTCGTGAAGCAATATGAGTGTACAAATATGTTTGAGTTCCTTTCATTCCTCTGGGTATATACCCAGAAGTGGAATTGCTGGGTCATGTGGTGATTCTATGTTTAATTCATTGAGAAACCACCATTCATTCACTTTCCACAGCAGCTAGATCGTTTTTCCCACCAGCAACGCACAGGTTTCTAATTTCTCTACATCTTTGCTAACAAGTGTTATTTTCTTTTTTCCTTCTTTCTTTCTTTTCCCTTCTTCTGCTCCCCTCCCCATAATAGCCATTGTAATGGATGGGTTTGGTTTTGAACTGACTCTGAAATGAATAGAGTTGGGGGGGTGAATAGCTTGGTGGGATGGGGGGGTATATCAGCAACAGGAAAGGAGTCAAGAAGCCAGAGGTTCGCCAGTGCAGAGTAGCCCCATGTGCCTGGAGCTGACAGGGTGTGGGGGCAGAGATGGCAGGAGATAAGGGCTGGAGGCAGCAGCCCCATCGCAGAGGCCTGAATCCAGGATGAGAAGCTTGACTTGATGCCATTGACATGACAGATGGCTCTCGAGTCTGGATGGGTTAGAAACTCTTGCAACCAGGGAGCACTCAAGCACTGTTTGCGTCCCAAATTTGCTGTGTGACCCTACGTCTCACTGGATGTGACCAGGGGGAGTTATTCTGCCTGTCCGAGCCTTCGTTGCCTCTTGTGTACACTGAGGGCAGAAGGGGGTGCAGTAGTACCTACAAGAGGGAATGAGTGAGTTGTTATGATAAGCAGCCGTGATGGGGAAGATTTGGGCTGACCGGGGCAGGCAGCCTTGCTGCAGAGCCGACTTATTCGGCCTATTCTGGCCTGCCTGGCAGCCAGGACACCCAGCCCAATGGACCTTGGCTTTTATCCTCTGCTCACACCTCCATAAGTCCCAGAGCCAAGGGACTCAGGCCAGAAGAGAAGCAGCAATGCAGCAGTAGACAGGTCTGGACCACCCTAAGAAGTCCTGAACAGGCCCAGGGTTGGTCGAAGGGTTGCCCAGGTGCACAGGCCTCAATAGTGTACACATCCATACCTCACTGACACCTCAGAACAGTTCCTCCGGGAAGCTACAAAGTCCATGTCACAGATGAGGAGACTGTAGCTTGGCGAGGGTAACTTGCCCAGGGCGACCAGTTAGGAAGTGACAGAGCCAGGAGACTCGGACTCTGAAGATTTATGTGTTACTGGAAAGTTGGACTAGATTGATGTATTCATTCACTTGTCATTCAACAGGTATTTCCTGAGCATTTACTATGTGCCAGGTACACAGTCTCTATCCTCAGGCCTCTGGGTGGTCTCAAGGGCTGGGAATGACCCCTTATTGAGCTCCTGTTGTGTGCCAAGAGTGTTACCTAAATCAGCTCATTAATCCTCACAACAGTCTGGGGAGACAGAGATTAGTTTCATTTTACAGGTAAGAAACTGAGACTCAGAGAGGAAGTGACTTGCTTGAGGTCTTACTGCTGGAAAGGGGCTGAGTCCATTCTTAGAATGACCCAGGCTGTCTGTTCTATGCATGTTCCCGAGGCCCTATACCTCTGACCATCAGCTCAGTCGTGCAGTGTGGACACTCTGCCAGCTGTGGCCACGTGCCCGGTAGGCCTGAAGCCCGAGTCCAGCTTTTGGCTGTACTGGAGGCCACACTTCTTATTTAAACACCATCTTGGAAAGTCAGAAGGGCAGCAGGTGGACCCTGGAAGGGAACCCCTGTGCCTACGGTCCAGTTTCACCATGGGCTGGATGCGGGGGCTCGAGGACATCCTGCCTCTCTCTGGCTTCGATCTTGTCCCCGTGGAACGAGGCGTGGCTCTCTGCCTCGTCTTTGCCTGAGGCCCTTGGGAGGATCACAGCCATCATGGGGAATATTAGACAATCTCATAGCATGTCCATGGGGCACTGGTGGGAAGTGAGAGCTGACCGTGCCCCGTTGGGGGTACTTACCCTCCATTCCTTTCTTCACCTGGCAAGTCGTCCGCATGCTTCAATGTCAGGTTTGGAATTCTCTTCTTCAGGAAGCCTCCCCTTGACCTAGCGACCCTCGGGCTGGGTCCGAGGACTCCTTCACAGACCTGGCCACACTGGGTGGCCAGTTTCCCCTACTCTTCTCAGGGCAGGGACCCCATCTGGGTCCCAAGCACTCTGCACAGTGTCTGCCCGGAGTGGGTGTCAGGGTGTCTGGGGGACTCCTGTCGGTGCTTGCAGCCTTACCCTGTCTTCTATGCTCTGGCGCTCCTCGGCCCTCCCCCGTTCTCTTCCTCCCCTCTCCACAGTGGAGAAGGAGCTGGACGCCCTTCGCCCGAGTCATGCCCTCTCTGTGGGCCTCAGTTTCCCAATCAGCCACAAGGCGAACATTACGAGGAACTTTCCGAGCCTGGGCTCTCCCAGGGCGCTGGGTTGAAGCAAGACATTGGCAACAGTTCCTCAACAGATGACTCTAAACTCTGCCAAATGGCATCCATATTAAACACCAAGATGGGCCGTTTAATCAGCAGGGACCTGGGAAGGCTCTGCGGCGAGTTAGCATTGAAAACGTGCGCCGAGGAGGGAGGAAGTCAGGGGAGGCCGCGGCACGCCTGGCCACGTGGGCGAGGGCGCGGCCCCCGGCTTCCGGCGAATCACAAGGCCCGGGTTGCCGTGGCAGCGGCGGGGGCAGGCGACAGGGTGGAAGCCAGGCTCCCGCAGGACCTCGCGCCTGGCGCCGGCGCCATGTCCATCAAGTGGTTCACCGGGGCGCCCTTCGGGGTGCAGAGCCACAGGTGGGGCCCGTCTGCATCCACCGCCCAGGGCGACCCCTGCGCCCCCAGCCAGTCTGGGGAGAGAGGGTCCGCCTGCCTACCCGGAGCCTGGGGGCAGAGGCGGGAGCCATCGGAGGGGCCAGGCGGGGAGGGGGGCTGGGCTTTCTCTTCCCTCTCACACTCCCGACTCTTCCATGCTCAGAGTTCTTCTACCATCCGTCGTAAGTTCTTTAAAACCACTTCAAGAGCACCTAACACGTGCCAGGTTGAGAGAGGCCACATGGCCTGGCCGGTAGTAGGTCACTCAGCTAAAAAGTCTGGGTAGGATTTCAGCCCAGGTGTGTCTCTTCCATTCATTCATTCCGTCTCTCTCACTAAATGCCAGGCACAGCAAAACCTTGTACTCATGGAGTTGGCACTCTTGTGGAGGAGGGGCGGTGGATGGACAATACACAAACAAACCAAAAATATACATCATGTTGGGTAGTGATAAAGAGCAATGGAGAAAAATGAAGCTGAGAGAGGGAGCTGGAGAGTGGGTGGGGTGAGTAGGGGCGGGGGCAGCCCTGGAATCTTCAAAGTCACCGCCACCTGGCTGCTTTTCCTTCATGGCCTGCTCCAAAGTCGCCTGTCCTGGGAAGCCAACCCCCACATGCCCCAGAACTGCCAGAGCGGGCAGGAATCGGGTGCCAGGCATTGGGCTCTCACGGGACCTCCATCCCTCCCTAGGTTTGACGTCTCCGCCGTTTATCCAAACCAGAAGAAGTCCAGCACCTTCACGGAGGCCCCATACTCTCAGCGCCATTCTGTGCAGCTGGTGAGTTTGCGGCAGCTTCCCTGCCTCCTCCCACGTGTCTGGCCACTGCCCTCTGAGTTGCCTACCACGGGGGATGGGCTGAGCTGGGCAGGCCCCAGGCACAGAGCTTTCCCAGAGCTGAGGCTTCCAGTGTGTTTGATAAATGCAGGACTGTAGGCTCCCAGCTCCTGCACCGACTGGCTGCAGACTCTGAGCAAGCTATTAAACCCCCCCGAAGCTTGAGGGGGCAGTGACGGAGGATGTCATGATTGCACCTTGAGTGCTGAGCCAGCTGGTACCAACCTCGGTGCTGGGGGTAAGGGCCACAGAGGGGCATTGCCACCCCTCCCGGGTCAGGGTGGCAACTTGGCGAGGACCTGCTCTGTGGGTGGCCTGGGTGGGTGTGGATGGCACAGCTCTGACTGTGCTCCGACTCAGTCCCATATAGGGCCTGGGACCTACAGCTCCAGCGAGTCCTGTTTCAGCAAGAAGAAGCTGAAGAAGGAGATGGGCACAGGCTGGGCCAAGGCCCAGGAGGCCACCCGGCTGACCCAGCTGCCGCACTTCCAGTACCAGGCCATCATGAAAGAGAAGCGACTGCAGGTGAGGCCCACGCCTCTCCCACCTGTGCCAGGACTTCCTGTCTGTTGTGGCTGCTCCGGTGTGGCTTTAGCATCCTCCCAGGGCCGGATAGAGCCCATTCGTGAAGGCACAACACCATCCCCTGGGGCTTCTCCCTGAGTGAACGTTCCCAGGTTTAAAATTGTCTTCTTCTGCTCTCTCCTCTTGGCACAGGAGCAAAAGCTGGGGCCCGGCTGCTACAACTTCAAAGACTTCTTAGAGCAGCTGCAGAAGAAGCCATGTAGCACCCGGGGGATGCTCAGCTCTGGGGAGATTCGCTTCCGAGGACTCATTGGGGTAGGTGTTCTCAGTGTGGAGTAGTGTCCCTTGCCCCCTCGCCTTCTGTCTGCAGACCACGCTGCCCAGGTAATGCCGGAAACACCCTTCCTGGTACCTGTCTCCTCCCCAGGCATGACCAAGTCCTCCACTGGGGCCCCACAGCCTCTCAGCTGTCCAGTGTCACAGTCTTGAGCCCTTGGAACATCCACAGTCACTGTGATCCTACTGCTTTTCCTTTGTGGCCGACTCCAAAGTCACCTCCCCTGAGAAACCAGTGCCTCCATTCCCCCAAACGACCCCAGGCCTTGGGATTCCAGCAGTGACAAAGACAAGGTCCTTGCTCTCATGAAGCAGGTGTCCTAGTGATAGAAACAATAGTCAAAAGAAGGAAATACATATATAATCGAGGTTATGAGCCTTCTAATAATCTGTGGTAGAACCTTCCAGGCAGTGGGAACAGCAAAGCCCTGAGGTGGGAACACGCTGGTCTAGCCAGACCAGCAGGCAGGAGGACAGTGTGGCTGGAGGGGTCTGGGCGAGGGCGATAGGCGAGGGGGTGGAGGAATGAACGGCTGGGTCATGAGGACCTTGCAGCCAGGCCAGGTGCCAGGCATTGGGCTCTCACGGGACCTCCATCCCTCCCTAGGTTTGACTCAGGGACGGGTCTGGTTCATCTCTGGGTCCTGAGCAAAGAGTCTGGCATATTTTAGGTGCTCAGCAAATTCATTCACCTATTAATATATATCTGTCTATCCAGCCAGCCTAGAATAACAAGCACCTACCAAGTGGCATGTGCTGTCCTGGGCCTTGGGGACCCAGCAGTGACAAAGACAAGGTCCTTGTTCTGAAGTGGCAGATGTCCTAGTGGTGGAAACAATAGTAAAAAGAAGGAACCACACATATGATCAGGACTGTGAGCACAAATGAAACGGAAAGGGATAGACAGGGGTGGCAGTGCGATTTATGAGAGTCGTCAGGGGAGGCCTCTGGGAGGAGGTGACATATAGGCAAAGCCTGCAGGTTGCGAGCAGTGGAACCTGGCGGTATCTGGTGGAGCATTCTAGGCGATGGGAACAGCAAAGGCTAAGGCCCTGAGGTGGGGACACACTTGTTGAGTTGGACCAGCAGGCAGGAGGCTAGTGTGGCCGGAGGGGCCTCAGAGGCGAGAAGCAGAGGAGTGAACCACCGGGTCATGAGGACCTTGCGGCCAAGGTGGAGCCTTCAAGGTCCTTCCTGTTGCGGTTGAAGGACAGTGAAGGGCATGACAGGGGCAGGCCCTGATCATCATTTTTAGAGGAGCGCCCTGCTTGTGAGTGTTCAGGGTTGAGAAGTGGCATCCAGGCAGGAGGTGACGGTGGTGAGAGGTGGGCTGGAAGTATTATGAGCATCCCACGTGGGGAAGACGGAGGGAGGCTCAGCTCAGTAAGGGTCGCCTTACTAAGTGGAGCCAGGAGTCTCCCTTCCTAAGGGAGCCAGGCTGCCGCTTGCCGAGTGCCCCTCCTCCCCTTGGCCTTGAACTCTCTGCACTCTGTTGTCCTGCTCCCAGCTCCTCAACTGCGCCGCCCTCTTTCAACTGGGGCTTTTTTCCTGCTGTTCCCTCTGCTGGGAATGCCCTTCCATGCTCGCTCACTCGGGCACTCCTCCTTATCCCGCAGCTCTCAGCTTCCAGAAGCCTTCCTGATCCCCACCAGGTGACAGCTTCCTTCCCAGGAGTCCCTACTGTGGCTGCATGTGTAGTGGACAGCAGTCCCCGAGGGTGGATGCAGCTGCTGGTTCATTTACTGCTGCACCCTGAGGTCCTTGCAGAGCTGGGGCACAGGCATGTGACGGGTCTTTGTGGACTGAATAGGTGTGTGCGCCCTACTAAGTACCAGGTGCTCCAGAACATTCTCTCTCGTTCTTTGCAGCCACTTCAGATGAGGCCCTGGAGGTGCCACTGCTCAGTTGGCAGTGGGCAGGCTGGGATCCCAACACAGGCGTGTCCCACCCCAAAGCCAGGGCCTTTCTCCCATGCCTTGCCACCGTGAAACCTTCTATGAGGCTGGAGACCCCGCCTGACACATCCAGGGACAAGCAGACGCACCTTCGGGTGCAGAAGCTGCAACTGTAACTTAGGGAGAGGAGAAGCCCAGAGGCATCTAAAAATGAGCCATTACCTCCAAATCCTAAGTGATAATAGGGGACGCTTAGCATGTTCTAGTTGATTGAATCTTCACAACAGCCCTATGAAGTAGCCACCATCATTATGTCCATTCTAGAGAGTACAGGGGTTTAGTAACCAACTGCCCCTTGTCACAGAGCTACCAAGTGGCAGAGGGAGGATTTGGGTCCCAGGTGTCCAGCATTCACCACCGCCCTTCACGGTGGACTTGGCTTCTTTAGTGCTAGGGCTTTGTCCCTTGACTCTCTGGGGAGGGCAGGGTCAATGTGGGATCTCAGCCCAGCTGACAGCAGAGGGATTGCAGGAAGAAGTCTGACACTGTCGGTCTCCTTCCTGCCTTTACTTCTTCTACCTGGGGGACCTTCCGCCTTCCCCACGAGGTCTTTGGGGGTCCTTCTCCTTCTTCAAAGTTCAGTTAGAAAACAGTTTTACCAGGGATGATTCCTTCATTCTCACGGTCTCCCCGCCCCCACAATTATTCCTGCTTGAGTCCCCAAAGCTCTGATGACATAATATTCTAGATAAAATCATGAGCTTTCACATCAGACTGGGGTGGTACTAAGCCTCAGAACCTGAAGATTTTAAGAAGAAACGAGGTTACGTTGACTGAGTGCCCAGCACTAGGCTTGGCACCAGCCACGGGCTCCAGAAGCAGGGTCTCTGTCACCCCTTGTTAGAGCCCTCATTTCTCTCTCCCAGGACCTGTGCTCACTGCACCACTCGAGTGCCTGCCACAGTGCCTGGCAAACAGTTGAGGCTCAGAATGGTCATGGGTTTTAGAGTTGGAACCCTTGTGCTGCCCCTTGCTGGTGGTGGGACCTTAGACACCAGTTTGCCTCTCTGAGACTCAGTTTCCCCATCTGTTAATTGTGGATGGTGCTGACTTGATCTCAGTGGGTTACTGCCAGGAACAAGATGCTAAGGCTTGTGGTGTCCCTAACACACAGCACAGGGACCCAGAAAACCTTGGGGGTTTTCTCCAGAACATACCCAGGAGCCTTGGAAATTGCTGCATCGTCCTGTTCCTCTGGGGCAAACAGATCTGCCCACAGTGGCCTGACTTCCCAGCAGAGATCCCTGCTTTCTCCACCCACGCTGCTGCCCCCGGGTCCGGTTTCACGGCGGGAGGTGGGCATGGCTGAGCCATCTGTGGAGCGGCAGCGACCTCGCGTGGCCAAGAGGTGCGGAGCAGCAACAGAGTCCTGCTGTGGACCACGAGGTTCAGGAGGCCTGCGGTCGCTCAGCTAGGAAGCAGCAGAGTCAGGATCTGAACCCAGGACTGCAGGTCCTTCCATGTGGCAGTCCTGGTCACAGCACAGCGAGAAAGCCCTTCCCGAGATGCAGGGCTGAGACGCAAGGGTGGAAAGGGTGGATCTGCCAAGGTCGCCGAAGCAGGCAGCTGTCTGACAGGGGAAGGAAGGCTTCATTCCCAGGAGGAATGGTGTTTGAGCTGGCTTTGCAGGATTGGTAGAATTTTCCAGGGCAAAGAGGGCAAGAGGGGCACTCCAGATTATGGCTTGAGCAAGCAAGGGAAGGAGGTTGGCAGGATGGCATGTGCTTGGGGAGCCCCAGAGAGCCACGCTGGCCAAAGGTGACATGCAGGGAGGAAACAGCAAGATGTAACATGGACAGTCCAGTGGGGCTCTGCTGTAGAGGCTGAACTTGAAGGCGAAGGTGTGAGCTGTGGTGGAGCCTCACGGGTGGCAGCGTTGTGTGTTGGTGGGGTGGGTCATACCCGGGCACATTCCCGTGCCTGGGATAGCACAGGGAGTGGGGCTGATGGCCTTTACGCCCCACCTCACCCTGCCCCACAGAACTACTATCCGGGCCCTGGAAATTATGGGGAGAAGGGCAACCCGTACACGAAGTCAGAGAAGAATGCCTGGAACCGGGCCCACTCCGAGGGCCTCATGTGCAGAATGACCAACAAGCCACCCCCACGGGCTCATCAGGTATCCCCCCATCCCTGGCCAGGCTTGCCCGCTTTCCCGTCCTGGAGGGAGACTCCCAGGGCAGATGGGGAAACCGAGACCCGAGAGAGCGATGGACCTGCTTCAGCGGCTCTCCCTACGGGCCTTGTCCCCTCTGCTGTGCTCTAGGGGAGTGGTCTGGGGCCTGGCACGTACTCCTTCAAAAGTGGCATCGAAACCTACCTGGCACGATCCATCGGCACTCGCGGCCCCTATGACATTTTTTCTGGTGACCGAAGCAAGCCTCTGCCTTACGGACACTACTCGGTGCAGGTGGGTAGGCAGGGGGGTTGTGGGTGTGCACAGGCGAGCAGGATGCAGCCCCAGGAGCAGCGCCCTATGTGCCAGGTGCTACCGAGGCTCTTCCCCCCCACCTCACCCTCACTACCAGGGCCTCATGCAGCTCCCTGTATTAGATGCGGAAACTGAGGCTGGCCACGTGGCTGGTAAGGAGCAGGGCTGGGATTTGAACCCAGGGACATCCATCTGACTTCACTGCCAGTTCTTTCCTCTGTACCGGCATGCCCTGCCCAGGGGGTGCAGATGGCCTACCATGCCAAGGCTAGGCAGGGTCATATGGCCCCCGCAACCTCAATGGCACAAGGCTGGGTGTCCTACTGTTTGGGAAACAATTGACGGTCGTCATAGACCTGGCTGGGCTAGTGTCTGTTAACAAGGCTGAGAACTGGAGGGCTGGGAGGGGAAACTGAGGCAGAATTTCAGCTGGGCAGTCTCCTTTCCTGCCTCCAGCAAGTTCCTGTCATGTGATCTCATAGCACGCTGAGCTTTGCTTCCTTCATGCTCATAACAATTGGAATTAAGTAAGCATTTGTCTAATTACCTGTTTGTTTTGGCCCCACTATGCATTCACTCAGTGTGTGCGATTAGGCCAGGTAGCCAGGTACAGGGAAACAAGCCCTTATGGAACTTCATTCTAATGGGAAGAGAAACACAATTGTGATGCGTGCTATGGCAAAAGCCTCTGGAGAGCGGAGAGCAGGGAGGGTGGTGATTAGTGTGGAAAGATTTGGGGACCAGTGGGTGGGCGGCCACTAAACCCTCCCACCTGGCTGTTCCCTGGGACCTCCCAGACCTCCCCATGACCAACTACTAAAGCAGCCTTGCCGCACAGCGTGGGCCTCGGGACCAGCACCCAGGCCACACTGTTCGTTTTTGTTTGTTTCATGACTTTTTTTTTTTTGAGTTGGAGTCTCACTCTGTCGCCCAGACTGGAGTGCAGTGGCCGCTCCCAGCCACTGCAACCTCGACCTGCTGGGCTCCGGTGATCCTTCCGCCTCAGCCTTCCAAGTAGCTGGAATTACAGGCATGTGCTACCACGCCCGGCTGATTTCATAGACTTTTTTTAAAAAAAAGCAGTTTCGGGTTCACAGCAAAATTGAGTGGAAAGTACAGAGAGTTCCCATAGACTCCCCCAACACACACAGTCTGCCCTGTGATCAGCATCCCACCCCAGACCGGCCCATTTGTTACAGGGAGTGAACCTACATCACACTCCATCCTCACCCCAAGTTTATGGTGTACACTGGGGCTCACTCTTTTTTTTTTCTGAGTTGGAGTTTCACTCTGTGGCCCAGGCTGGAGCGCAGTGGCACAGTTGGGCTCAGGTGATCCTTCTGCCTAGGCCTCCTGAGTATAGCCAGGACTGCAGGTGTATACCACCACACCTGGCCTTTGTAAAGATATCTCACTGTGTTACCTGGGCTGGTTTTGAACTCCCAGGCACAAGCAAACCTCCCGCCTTGGCTTCCCAAAGGACTGCAACTACAGGCATATGCCACCGCACCCAACCAGATTTAACTATTTGAAATACTACTCACGATTAAAACATTGCCTGACTCAATAAACGGCCAAAAAATGAATGAAAGAAGGAGGAAACGGATGGAGACAAGCTGGGCTGGAGGGTGTGGCACGTGGGGGTTGCCACAGACTAACCCCGCCCCTGGCCTGTGGGTGGGGGAAGGCCGTCTGTTTCCACCGCCCAGGTCTGGCCTGGATGTCTGCACAGCGGTGAGTGACACCACCTTGTTGTTGGTACTCGCTTTTCTCCAGCTGCAGAGAAGGGTTGAGAAAGGGACCTCTTGGTTTTCCTGACAGAAGAGATCTCTCTTTTTCTTTTTCTCAGAAAAAAAAGCCCAGGGAACTGATGAATTTCAAGAGTTTTGTGGAAGAACTCAACTCACATCACAATAAGAAGCACGGGGTTTTTTCGAAAGTTCCCCGCAACCCCAGAGTCCCCACGGAGCGGATTTACTGGGCCACCCTTAGCCAGTGCCCCCGAACACTGGTCAGCATGCTCTCCTGGCCTCTATCTCTCTCTGTCTCTCTCGGAGGGTGGCTCTCCCGCGGGGGCTATGGGCGGGAGTGGGGGTGGCCATTTTAAGGGGAGAAGCTGTCTTTGGGATACCGACCCAGTTTCCAATTCTGGCCTTGCACTGTGGGTTGCTTTGGGTGAGACCCTCTCAGGACCTTGGTTTATACTCCTGTCCTCATTATGAAGATGGCGAGGTGATCATGAGAATCAGGTGAGGCTCTGTGCTCAGAGCCTCCAGTGTGGTACCTGGCACCCAGGAAGTGCCAGCCAGTGCTGACCTCTATCCTGCATCCCCCCGCCCCCAGGGCCCTGGAGAGCGGGTAGGGGAAACTAGAGCAGGGCAGGCCCCTTCTGGGCCCTTCTCTCTCCTGCACTCACTCCCCTCACAAGACGCAGCCATCTCTAGTGTAGGACAGTCAAGTTCTTGGGTTTTGTGTGCTTGGCCAGGGTGTCCACCCTCAGAGGGTCTGGCCCCCTGCTCCATCCAGGGAGGTAGGTAGTGGGCTGTGCCCCCTGTCAAGGCAGTCCTCTGGGAGGGGGAGCCACCAGCAGGGTCTGGAGGGACACAAGGCCCTCCAAGCAGGGTCTACCCCAGGGGGCATGGGTGGGAGTGGTGTCTGGGAAAGAAGACTACCAACATCTCCTGAGTGCCTGCTGGATACTGTCCAGCCCCCCTGAGGGAGGAGTTATCATTTGCATCCCACAAAAGGAAACCAAAGCCCAGATCTGGGAAGGGATTTGCCCAGGCTCCCCTCAGCAAAGGCAGAAGGGGCTAGGACTGAACTCACCTCATCTGGCTCTGAGGCTTCCGCTCCCCACACTGGGATCTAGACCATCTCTCTGGCCCCTGCCAGACCATGAAGACCCTTGAGCACCTGAAAACAGGCATCAGGCTGGTGGGCGGGGGCTAGAGGGCGGGGGCATGGGTCATGAGGGCCCCTTTGCTGCGAGGTGGCTGGGTACCTCCCCTCTGGCCCAGCTGCCAGGAGCCCTCACCTGCCCTAGCCCCAGGCTGACCACACCAGGGTCTCTCCAGGTTTCGGCCTTGTTTCCTCACCCCTAGGCCACTTCTGGCCCAAGCTTGTGGCTTCCACAAGAGAAGGAATGCAAGCACATCAACCAGCCCCCGTTCCTGCTGTCTTCCAAGCGCTCAGGCACGAAGGCCTGTCAGATGGTTATGGGAAGCTGGGTGAGTGGTTCGGGGGTGGTGGGCAGGGAGCGCTCTCCTGCTCTACAGACACCCCCGCTGCTGTCTTATTATTCCAAGGCATTGGTTCTCAAACTCCAGCGGGTGTTAGCATCACCCGGAGGGCTTGTTAAGACAGGAGCTCTTGGCCCCATGCCAGAGCTTCTGAGACTCTGGGGCGGGACTGGGGAGTCTGCGTTTCTAACAGGTTCTCAGATCACGCAGGTGGTGCAGTTCCAGGGACCACTCTCTGAGAACCAGGGAGCCAAGAGGCGTCACACCGCAGCCACCCTGTTCTCTCGTTTTCCCAGAGAAACACCCCCTTTCTTTCTCTCTTTGTGTTTGTCTTGGGGCCTCAGGGACAGCTGGCCCATTTCTCTTCCCCGACTAATCCCGTCTGGGTCCTTCCTCTCCCGTTCACTTCCCAGAGGCAGCCATCTTCCCAGAGGCAGCCATCTCCCATGGGTGATGTAATCTTCGGTTTGTGGTCTCGTGAAACAGTCAGGTTTCCGTGTGTTGGTTGGGTGCAGGCCTCTTGAATTTACACAACCTTCGGTGCTGATCTCACTCTGCTTGTCACTCCACCTGCCCTCGGGTTATAACGGCACCATTTGCACTTAAAATAGTCTAATAGTCATGCCGAAAGTGAACAGCTCCCGGATCCTAAGTGAACAGCTCCCGGAATTGTCACAAAATGGCCTCACCCACGTGCCCACCCCCCAGAGCATTTAAAAGCTCATTCATAGGAGCCCCTGGTCATCCCCGCCCTCATCAGGTAGCCCCTGTTCTAACTTGCAGTAGCTCAGGCTGGTTTTGCCTGCTTTTTTAGGTTTCCTCCTGGTGTCCCTGGGTATGTCTTGCTAGTAGCTTACCTGCCTTCCCATTGTGCTGCCCCTGCCACCCATCCCCCATCCCAGACTGGGGTGTTTCTTCCTCTGGGGAGCGTGCCAGCCACCCCATCTTCATACCATTGCCCCCCGCACCCCACCAGGTGATGGCAAGGTCCTCAGTGTGCTCACTGATTCTTGTGGGGACCAGCTGGTCAGTCCCCCACATCTTTCCCTTTCTCCCCTCTAGCCTGCACCCCTGCAGGGGAGAACGTCTTCACTCAGGCATCCCAAGTATTAATAAAAAGTTGAGGCTAGAGCCAAATGACCATTCTGCTGTGACAGGGCCATCCACTCCCAAGTGGGAAGGGCTGATGTGAGTCGGGGTTCCAGTGCCTCAACTGGCCCTGCCCCTCAGGGCGGGAAGCCCCTGGGTGTATACTCGCCCCCCAGTCTGGGAGACTCATGAAACAGACTTCTCCCTCGCGGGAGGCAAGTTCTGTTTAATACGAGACTAGTTTCTGGGTCCTAACATGCCCTCATCTCACCTCTTGGCATTGTTTCTCTGCAGATGGCTGCATTCCAGTCCTGCCTTTATTCTGCCCTGGGTCACCCTGGGCTGGCTACTTTTCCTTTCTGAACCTCTGTTGGCACTTCTGGTGTCTGCGACCCAGATAACTGGGTGGGATACTGTGTTCCTTTTCAAGGGCTGCCCTAAAAGCAACTTCAGACTAATGGCTTAAAGCAACCTAAATGGGATCTCACACAGATCTGGAGGCTAGGGGTTTGAAAGCAAGGGGTCTGAGGTTTCTGCTCCCTCTGCAACCGGCCAGGGAGCTTCCTTCCTTGCCTCTTTGCAGCTCCCGGTGGAAGCAGCCGTCCTTGGCATTCTTTGATTTGTAGATGCATGACCCTAATCTCTGTGTCCATTGTGGGGCTGTCTTCTTTGTGTGTCTCTTACCGGACACCAGTCATATTGGATTAAGGGCCCACCTTACAGCAGTATCACCTCGTCTTAACTCTAATCATATCTACAACAACCCTAATTCCAAATAAGGTCACATTCTGAGGCACTGGGGTTAGGACATCAGCATATCTTTTGAGGGGACACAATTCATCTCATAACAGATGGAGTAAGGATTCTGGGGGGAGGGGAGGAGGCCAAGATCAAGTCTCCCAGATGGGCTTGCTAATGTCCCACCATGCTCTCCCTGTGCAGAACCCGGTCGGGGTGGGCCGCTACCTCAACACCTGGCTGATGGAGACCAAGGACAGACGGCAGCGATATCGGTCCCTGTTCCTGGATGGGTCCAAACGCTACCTCTCGGACCTGACCCGCGACATGCTCATGCAGTGAGTGCAACTGGCGGGGGCGAGGACAGGGAAGTGCTTCCTCTGGGGATGGGCTGGGGGTTTCCCCTGCTTGGCTCCCATGGGAACACAGCGGCTCCCCCAAATGCCACCCAGACAGCAGAGGTAGTGGAGAGAGGTTCAGGTTCAGAAGTTGGCTCTCTCACTCACTGGCTGTGTGAAGTGGGGCGTGCTGCTTAACCTCTCTGAGTCTTAGTTCCTTCAGCTGTCAAAAGAGCAGACGGCTGAGAAGACCCAGATGAAATGGCCCGTTTAAAAGCTCTTCTTGCTGACCGGGCTTGGTGGCTCAACCTGTAATTCCAGCACTTTGGGAGGCCGAGGCTAGTGGATTGCCTGAGTCCGCGGGTTTGAGACCAGCCCGGGCAACTTGGTGAGACCTCGTCTCTACAATAAATCAAAAATTAGCCGGGCGTGGTGGCGCGTGCCTGTAGTTCCGGCTAATTGGAAGGCTGAGGCGGAAGGATTGCCAGAGCCCAGCAGGATGAGGCTGTGGTGGCTGGGAGCGTGCCACTGCACTCCAGTCTGGGCGATAGAGTGAGACTCCAACTCAAAAAAAAAAGCTCTTGCTAAGGAAAAGGTACTCAATTGACACTAAATCCTCTACCCCCAACCCACATGGGTTGGGCTCTGCCCTAAGTGTCTTCACCACATGGGATCTCAGTTTCTCAGTGTTCATACTGGGATTGGTAAAACTCATTGCAGAAAGTTGTGAGGCCGGAGAAGGAAAAGGTGCACGAAAATACTGTGGAAAATTATAAAACAGCTGTGAGGGTTAGCTGCTGGCCTATTTTATTGACCTGAGAGGCCATCCGTTGCGACATACTCTCAATTTCAGAAATGTTAAAATGTGAATAAACATGCACTTTGGAACTGAGCATTTTGTTTTTTGGAGATTATGGTGAGGGCATGAAGACCAGATTCTGGGGACCCGATGACTCAGGGAAAACCAGCTTTTAAATGTCATTTTTATAAAATGTTTTATTTTTATCCAGATAGTCCTGTGTCTTCCTTCTCCTTAATTTACTTGCAGCTGGGCTCGGTGGCTCAGCCTGTAATCCCACGCCTTTGGGAGGCCAAGGCGAGTGGATTGCCTGAGCCCGCGGGTTCGAGACCTGCCTCGGCAGTGAGACCTCATCTCTACAATAAATCAAAAAATCAGCCGGGCGTGGTAGCGCATGCCTGTAATTCCAGCTACTTGGAAGGCTGAGGCGGAAGGATCGCCGGAGCACAGCAGGTCGAGGCTGCGGTGGCCGGGAGCGGCCACTGCACTCCAGTCTGGGCGACAGAGTGAGACTCCAATTCAAAACAAAAACAAAAACAAAAAAAACTTACTTGCTTGCTTGGTGGATTCCCAAAAAAGGGCAACAGATAGGTGAGGTTTCCAGTTGACTCATGCCTGAAAATCTTTTTTTTTTTTTTCCTCTTGCACGTCTGATCAATGGTTTGGTTGAAAAGAGATTCTAGGTCGGCAACCGTTTTCCCTCGGCATTGTGAAGGTCTTGATCCCCAGGCTCCGAGCTTCAAGCGTCTGAGACTGTTCTGGTTTTCTGTCCTGTGTACGTGCACTGCAGTTTCCTTCCTGGAAGCTCTCAGGACCTTTCTCTTTGTTCCTGGGGTTCTGGGGGGTCTTGGTGTGGGTCTCTTGTTATCCGTTGCACTGGGTGTGTCCTGGGTTCCTTCCATCTGCAGCCTCGATGCCTTCTATTCTAGGAAAATCTTTGGAGTTTTTGTCCTTAACGATTTCCTCTCCTCTGCGTTCTCCCCTCTCCCTTTCAAGAATCTCTTTCAGATGAATGGTAGATTTCCCGGTTTGGTACTCTAGTTTTCTTACTTTTTTTTTCTTTCTTATTTTCCATTTCTATCTTTTCTGTTCTACTTTCTGGTATAATGTTCTTGTCCTGATCTACCCTACTATTGTCTTTTAAGATTTTGGCTATCGTATTTTTTAGTTTCTAAGAGCTCTTTTGTGTTGTGAATTGCCCTGTTTTGTTTTGTTTTTTTCTTGCTGTAACAACCGGCTCTGTGTCATGTATGCAGTATGTTCTTTTATCTAGGACTATCAATTACAGTCTTCCTTAAGGTCTTTTGCCCCTGTATTGCTTCCAGTTTTTCCAAGTTTCTTTTATTCTTTCACTTGTTTGTTAATTTTTAGTTTTACTTTTTTTTTGAGTTTGGCGTCTCACTCTGTCGCCCAGACTGGAGTGCAGTGGCCGCTCCTGGCCACCACAGCCTCGACCTACTGGGCTCCGACGATCCTTCCGCCTCAGCCTTCCGAGTGGCTGGAACTACAGGTGTGCGCTACCACACCTGGCTGATTTTTTGATTTCTTGTAGAGATGAGGTCTCGCCAAGTTGCCCAGGCGGGTCTCGAACCCGCGGGCTTAGGCAATTCACTCACCTCAGCCTCCCAAAGCGCAGGATTACAAGCTGAGCCACCGAGCCCAGCTTAGTTTTACTTTTAAACAGGAAAGCTATTTTTAGTTTTAAAGAGGAAAGCCGTAAAAAATGCTGTGAATCTGGGTGGGACCTGCCAGTCGGTGGCTTTGCTAGGAGTGATCAGCTGGGGATCTGGTCTTTCCCTTGGGAGACCCTCCAATGCCAGTGTCCCCAGGTGTTTTCTCTGGGACCATTCAGCTTCTCTAGAAAAATGGCCAGTTGCAATGACTCATGCCTGAAATTCCAGCACTTTGGGAGACTAAGGAGGATTGCTTGAAGCCAGGAGTTCAAGACCAGCCTGGGCAACATAGTGAGACCCTGTCTCTACAACAAATAAAATAAAAAGAATCCTTCATCCTGGGTGGGTTAAATGTGGTTGCTGGTGATTAGGGAAAGGAGACTGGGCTGTCTTATTCAGTCTATGCACTTCCTCCTACTCCCTGTCTACTCACTGTGGGGTCTGTTGCTCTGCGTTCCACCGTGCCCCCCCCCATCTGGACGTCTCCACAAACCAACCCTCCAGTCTCCTGCCGGCTGGGCGAGGAGTCGGTGGGAGGTTGTGTCTGGCTCTCCCTCTTGTTTTCAGCCATCGGTCTTGTGCTATTCCTGGGCCTTGCTGAAGTTCTTTGGCAGAGGTTGGCAAGGTTCTCTTGGCTTCCCCTGCTGCAAGCAGTTTGCTGTTCTGCCTTCTCAGCTCTGCTAATGGCTCCTTGTACTGTTTGTGTCCCTAAAACATGCTAACATCCCTTGTCCCCTGATTCCTCTGCTCCCTTTCTTCCTTGTATCTATTTTTTATTGACATATAATGATTATACATATTTATGGGGCATATGCTATATTTTGATGCCTGCATACAATGTTTAATGATCAAGTCAGGGTGTTTAGGATATCCATCGCCTCAAACATGTATCATTTATTTGTGCTGGGAACATTTTCAAATCTTCTAGCTATTTTGAAATATGCAATAAATTATTGTTAACTATAGTCTTCCTACTATGCTATCAAACACTAGAACCTTTTCTTACTCTCTGTGTGTTTATACCCATGAACCAACCTCTCTTCATCTTACCCCCTCCCCTCTTCCCAGCCTCTAGATAACCATTATTCTATTCTACCTCCATGGGATCAACTTTTTTTGCTCCCACATGTTAGTGAGAACGTGCGATAGTTGTCTTTCTGTGCCTGGCTTAATTCACTTAACATAGTAACCTCCAGTTCCATCCATGTTGCTGCAGATGACAGGATTTCATTCTTTTTTTGTGGCTGGATAGTTTTCCATTGTGTATGTGTATTATATTATATCAGTTCATCCATTGATAGACACTTAGGTTGATTTCCTGTTTCATGTCTGGGTTATTGTAAATAGTGCTGCAATAAACATGGAGGGGCAGGTAATCCTTTGATATACTGATTTCCTTTCCTTTGGATAAATATCTATTAGTGGAATTGTTGGAGCATAGGGTAGTTCTATTTTTACTTAAAAAAGAAATTTCCATACTCTTTTCCATAATGGCTTACCAATTTACATTCTTACCAACAGTATAAATGTTCCCTTTTCTCCACATCCTGGCCAGCATACTTTTTTTTTGTCTTTTTGATAATAGCCATCCTAACTGGACTGAGATGATATCACATTGGAGCTTTGATTTGCACTTTCCTGATGATTAGTGATGTTGAACATTTTTTCATCTGCTTATTGAGCATCTGTGTGTCTTATTTTGAGAAATGTTAACTCATGTCCTTTGCCCACTTTTTTTTTTGAGTTGAGTCTCACTCTGTCACCTAGACTGGAGTGCAGTGGCCGCTCCCGGCCACAGCAGCCTCGACCTGCTGGGCTCCGGCGATCCTTCTGCCTCATCCTTCCAAGTAGCCAGAATTACAGGCATGAGCTACCACGCCCGGCTGATTTTTTGGTTTATTGTAGAGATGAGGTCACGCTGCCCAGGCAGGTCTCGAACCCGCAGGCTCAGGCAATCCACTCACCTCAGCCTCCCAAAGGCGCAGGATTACAGGCTGAGCCACCGAGCCTAGCTCTTTGCCCACTTTTTAATGAGATTACTTGTTTCTTTGCTGTTGAGTTAATTTCCTTGAATGTTGTGGATATTAGTTCCTTGTCTGAGCAATAGTTTACAAATATTTTCTCCTATTCTACAGGCTGTCTCTTTACTCTGTTGATTGTTTCTTTTGCTGTGCTGAAGCTTTTTAGTATAATAGTCCCAATTGTCTATTTTTGTTTTTGTTGACTGTGCTTTTGAAGTATTAATCATAAAATCTCAGACCAATATCCTCAAGAATTTCCCCTGTATGTTTGTCTAGTAGTTTTATAATTTTGGGTTTTACGTTTAAGACTTTAATCTATCTTGAGTTGATTTTGTATATGGTAAGAGAGAGGAGTCTAGTTTAAGTCTTCTGCATATGAATATACAGCGCCATTTTCCCAGCACCATTTTTTGAAGAGACTGCCCTTTCCTCAATTTATGTTTTTGGCACCTGTGTCAGAAATCAGTAGGATGCAAATCTGTACATTTATTTCTGGGTTCTCTATTC